TTAGATTAGATGGATCATGTATATATACAAGTACAGGAAGATCACTGGGGAAAATAGTGACATTCAAGGAGTCTGTCTCCCTTAAGCCCCTCTGCCTATATGCACTCTCACCCATAAGAACCCATCGCATCAAGGTCAAGTATCATGGTCGACCTTCCATCCAACTCTAATTAAGTTCTTCATGGACTCTGAGGTGTAAATGAGGAGTGACTGGTTAAACTAGATTTGTTTCTTGTCAGAGCAAGCATTTCTCATGGTTATAGGACTGAGCACACCTGTTTCTTACTGGGTGTGGGATAAAACCACCCTTGGACACTATGGATGCCTCACTGTCAAGTGGGCACTTTAAACATGGCCAATTACTGCACCAAACCAATAGAGCAAGTCTGACAGGAGATGGGGAGGGAGTCTGACAGGAGATGGGGTCAACACAGTCATGACAATGGCATCCTATCACCCTTGCCATATTGTACTGGCAAGAATCAAGTCACAGTCCTCATAGACACATAAAAGGAGAGTAGAAAACCAAAGCCAGAGGCTATGGAACCACTTTACATTTGTCTACCACACTGAGATGTCATTGCTTAGAAGAGATATATAAGTCCTCTCTGCTAATGCCCAACACCAACACATTCCCTAAAGGACCATGTGGAATACCAAAGTTCTCTCAACGTAACCAGCGCCTTACCTAGTTACCATGTAAAACTATTTTGCACTCTTGCTGGTGACTGGAGGGAGGCATAGTGGTGGAAGTCCAGCATGCAGGAGACTGAAGCAGGACAATCACTGCAAGTTAGAGGCCAACCTGGGCTCCATATGAGTTTAAAGCCAGCCTGAATAATGTGTTACAAAAAAAAGTTGTTGCATCTGGTGAAAGCACACTGGAGCTTCCATCTCTGCAAATATCATGTTTATGATACACTGCTGTAACCTTAGAACCATTGCTGTGCATTACACCTCCAGAACTCCTGCACTTACAGCAACTAAGCTGTGCTGCAACTTGACCAACATCCTGTAAATTTTTTTCCTCATCCCAGCAGAGACAACTGCCACTCTGTTCTCTACCTGTATGATTTTGGTTACTTTAGGTTTCACACATAAGTGAGCTCATGCGTCTCTCTGTGTGTGGGTATTGCATTTAGCATGATGTCCTCCAGGATCGTTTGTTTTTGCAAGCAACATTATCTCATTTTTAAGGCTGAAGGATATTCTGTTGTGTGTATACATATATATGTATGGTCTTTTCTTCATGCATTTGCTTATTGATATTCTTTGATTATTTCCATCGCTGCCTATTGTGAAAAATTTTCAAATGAATACAAGAGAGAAGATGCTATTTGGGAATGTTAATATTATTGCTCCTGGATATACCCTACATTGATTGAAATATGTTTGGTCCTCACTAAGACTCCCAATTTTGAAAGATGTTGAGAACTTTAAGAGCTGACCTGATATATTGCACAGCATCATGCTTCTGGGACAAATACCTGACACAAGGAACTTGAGAGGTCTGCTTCAGTTCACGGTTTCAGAGGTCTCAGTTGATGGTTGGCTGCCTCTGAGGCAGAGGCATCAGTGCAGAGGGGCTGGTGGAGAAAAGCTTCACTCAAAGCAGCAGGGTTGCAGAGAACAGGGGAAGAGCCCCTGAGGAGAAGGAGCCACAGACCTGAGATGGCCTCCAAGATCATGCCTTATGATCTGCTCAGAGACAACCAGAAGTGAGCTTCCCTAATCTAGGTCTCTCTCATGCCAGTCAACATTCACCCTCACATGAGGGCATCCACAGGGATCAATGCTTTTCTTGCATGAGTGAGTTGTCCCTCTCACAGGGCTGGGTTGGCTGCTTTCAGAGGAGAATGAAAGCCTGGCACCCCTCTCCTCTCTTATATATGTGGGATTCTCCTCCACACACCCCTGCTTCCCCCACTTTCCTGCCATCAGGCCGTCACCAGGAAGCCAACCTGATGCCAGGGCCATGATTTTGCACTTCAGTACAGTGCAACAGAATAAACCTCTTTCCTTTACACATTAGGGAGCCTTCAGTGTTTTGTTATAGAAAGAGAAAATAGACTAAGACATACATGTAGGAGTGGAATGGCTGTGTCACAAGGCCATTCTATGTTCAAGTTTTTGAGAACAATCATATTGTTGCCTGGAACAACTATACTTATTTACATCCCCATCAGTACTTGCAGGAATTCCTTTTGTCTCCATTTTCTCCAGCACCTAGCTCTTTTGAATTAACATTTTTCTTTTTTTTTTTTTTTTTGGTTTTTGGTTTTTCTCTGGTACCAGGAACCGAACTCATGACCTTGCGCTTGCCAGGCAGGCGCTTTTGCCGCTGAGCTAAATCCCCAGCCCCTGAATTAACATTTTAATAAGTGTAAGATGATCTCTCATTGTGCTTGGGTTGACACTTCTCTGATGGTTAAATGATGCTGAGAACTTTCCATATATCTATTGATTAGCTGCCTTCTTTTGAGAAATGTCCATTCTGGGCCTTTGTTCATTTTAAAAATCAAATCAGCTGGAAATTTTTTCTATTAATTTGTGTAAGTTTCTTACATGTTTTGCCTAGAAATCATTTTTATTTGACCTAAATTTCCCCCGTGCATAGGATTTTTACCACCGTAACATTGCCTTTGCTGTACAAAACAATTTTTCTTTGAAGTAGTCACTTTAACTTATTTTTGGTTTTCAGGCCCGTCCTTTTGTTGTCATGTCCTAAAAATCATTTCCCAAACCTTTGTCAAGAATACTTTGCCTGTGTTTCTTTGGAATAGTTTTATGACTGGAAATCTCACATTTCAGACTTTTAATCATTTTGAGTGGATTTTTGCACGTGGTGTAATTGGGAAGTCAAGCTTCATTCTACTCCATGTAGATATCCACTTTCTCCAACATGATTTATTAAAGACTGTCCTTTCCACATTGGCTCTTTTTGGGACCCTTGGCAGTGGTCACGTGACTGCGGATGTGTGGACTTATTCCCGACCTCTCTAGGGTGCCCCATTGGTGTGTGTAACTGTCTTTACAACAGTGCTATATTACTTTCCTTCCATGGAGTTGATCCCTGGAAATGCATTGTGGGAGGGAATGTACGTGTGTGTGTATGTGTGTGTTGACAAGGAGAAGTGCACTCTATGCATTTGTATGTGACCATCTTATATTTTCATGCTCTATTGCATGACTGCACACCATTTGGTATACTCTAGGATTCTCCCTGAGCTATAGTGGACCTAAGGGTAGTGGTTAAATTGTTGCTTTTTTGAGAGACATGCATTAAGACCCATAGTCTGCCATCTAATTCCAAAACTATTTTTCTGAATGAATATCCATTCAAATACATCTACCTATACAAAAAGGTCTGTTTAATACCAGAAATGCATGCTTTCTACTCATTCATTGCCATTATTTTTGTTTTATTCTTTTTGATATGCGAAATTTAACTCAACACCTGAGCTTGCCAGGAAGGCACAGTGCAACTGACCTATATCCCGGCACCTTTGTATATTTTGACTAAAAGTTTTGCTTTGAATGGTAGCATGTCCTTTTAAATTATGACTATTGTGAAAAGGTCAACAGAGAAAATTAATCAGACTAACATTGTGAGAGCTGCTACCATCATAGCATAAATATACACAGTTATCCCTTCATTTCCAATGAGGATTTATACTAAGATTGTCAGAGGTTCAAACCCCTTATATACAATGACTTATAGTTCCACAAAACCTCTGCATATCCTCTGTTTGTTCAACCATCACTAGAACACTTATAATACCCAATTCAATGTTAACACCATCTCAACAATTGTTACATTGGAAAATGCTATATTGGATTGCTTAGAGAATAATTAGAAGGAAATGTGAGCATATGCTCATTGCAGATGCAATACTATTTCAAAGTTTTCTATGTCCTGTTGGTTGAATACATAGATGTACAACTCCTAGATATGGAGGGTTTGTTGTTATTGTATTGAATTAACAATTCACAATAAAAAAGAAGTCCACTAAGTTGGGTGATGATGGACTTTTCTCACTATCATATGTATGTTTCTCACAGCTTTTGATCGACTCATGTATTCATGCAACAAATGTGTTGCTCTTATGAAATATGATTGAAAATTATGGTGTGTATTTACATTTTTATAAATTATTACATTAAAAAATTACTCTTATCTCCTAAAGTTGCACACCATTGTTTTTTTTTTTTGTTTTGTTTTGTTTTTTTGTTTTTCTCCGGTACC